TCCCCCGCAACACGGTGACCTCGGTGGCGGGGCTGTCGGCCCATGACATCAGCCAGCCGCTTAAAAACAGCTTCATCCACACAGGCCATGGAGACACCAACCCTCAGCAGTGCTGGGGGTTTCCCGATAAAATTGATGAGTAAGAAACTTTCTGTCTTCTCTGCAACTCCCCCACCCCCCCGCCTCCCCCTTGCAAGGAGCGAGCTTGGCCTTCCTCCCTTACAACTCCTCTTCCTCCCTGCTGTGCTGGGGACAGCTCTGGGCAGGGTCCCCGCAGCTTGACTAACCCCCTCGCCTCTTCTCACTAACGGGGTCGGGTGCTGCATGGGATGGAGCGTGGGGGCACGGGACTGGGCTGGGCACGAAGCCCTTCTCCCAGCCCCACAGACCCCTTGGTGCTTGGCAGTGCTGGGACAGGGGAAATGTCGCTCTAGAGGTGACAGTATCACAGCTGCTGGTACGTTATATAGACGTAACATATTTTTTTCTCCCCATGCTCTACCAAGAGTTGATCCTATTTGGTTTGTAATGGGAGCAGGACTGGAGGAGGACTGGGGCAGTGTTGAGGCTGGGCATAGTGCATTGGATCCTGGGGTGCAGCAGACCCCAGGAAGCTATGGGCATGGTTATAGCTCTCTGAGGGTTCTCCCCCAACTTCGAGGATGGGGGGATGTGGGAGGGCTATTTGGGGAGGAACAAGATGCAACTACAAATCCTGCACGGCTCCCACAGTGTCGAGGCAGCTCCCGCACCCCATGGAATGGTGATACCCACGGCACCCCAGCAATACAACAGGGCTCCCAGCATTGGAGCTGTGCAGGCGGCTCCCAGCACTGGAGCTGTTGCAGGCGGCCCCCGGAGTGCTTTGTCGAGGCGCCGGGCGCACGGACGTGCCTCGTGCCCTGGCAGGCCTCCCCGCGCCCCGCTGCGTGGGCACGCGCCCTGGGTACGTGCCGTCCGGGCCGCAGAGAACGCACCGAGCTCGGCACACACCCAGGCCTTCGGGCTGCGCCGGCTCTCTGCCTCGCCATGCCTGGCTTGCGATGGCTCGCCCGGGCCTCCCGCCGCGCTGCTCTGGGTTCAGTACCCCACGTGTGGGTGCCCTGTGCCGCAGGCAGAGAGGGGATGGGTGACACTGGGGCGGCACCAGGGGCTGTGCTGTAGAGCCAGAAGCCTCATAAAATGCAGCACAGAGGAACTTGGCATCATAGGGACGTGGCAGTTGGGATGTACCTCTCTCCATGGAGCTTGGGGTTACCATCCTGCAGCAAGAGGCAGGGTGAGTCCCCTACTGTATGTTGCAGCGTACAGAATGTATAACCAGGCGCGTCCCGTGAGCCCAGGGAGGTGCAGCATCCCACTGATCCCCTGTTGCTCTCTTCTTTCTCCCCCCAGGCTGTACCTGGGAAATCCCATGGACCCTCCTGATGTTTTAGGAGTGGACCTGAGCGCTGCCAGACCCACCCAGCTCCCAGGAAGGGCTAAAAGTAAGTGTCTTCACCCTTTCGGCCCCCTACCTCTGACCTGTCAGCTGCACCAAGTCCCTTCTGAGCACCCTTCTGCCTGGGTGGCGGGCAGGACTATCCCTCTGTCCCTTCTGCTCCGTCTCTCTGCTGCCATTCGCTTGTTGCAGCCCTGGTGGTGGGGAGCCAGCGCGCACTGTCACCCTGCCCGGTGCCACTGCCAGCACTGTGGGCGGCTCTGCCCGGCCCCTCCGGACTGGACTCTGCCCTGCTGGCCTTCGGCCGGGCCCCTCGTCCTCTCCCGGGGCAGGGCTCCCCATTACGGGGCAGAGCGGCTCACTGGTGCGGTTGCAGCCAACGCCGTGCAAGTTCTGTACCCCCAACCCCGCGACCCACTGGGGCAGCCCACCGGCACCTGCTGCTGTCCATAGCGGTGCAGGGGGACAAAGCATGCGCCATGCTCCTGCTAAGAGCCGCCCCGGCTGCCGCCTGCTCCGCGCGCTCACCCCGCGTCCCGCCTGCTCTCGGGCTCTCTCTTCTCCTCCTGCAGGGCAGCCGCCTCCGCGCCCGCCTCAGCCTTCCATCCTGCTTACCAGTAAGTCGGGCTGTTCTGGGAGCCGCCAGCCCTGCTCCTGCCCCTTCTCTTCTCTCTTAGCTCCTTTCTGTCAAGGTACTCGGGGTGTGCTGTGTGCTCGCCTCCTGCTCTCACCAATGGCACGTGCGGGTGCTGCTGGGCACCTGGGGGTGACAGCATGGCTCTGCTCCCTGTGGATTGTGTCCCCGAGCTCCAGAAATGGCATGCACTGGGATGGCTGTGGAGTGGGGGGAGGGGGAAGTCCTCACCTCCTGGCTCACCGTGGACCCTGCCCAGAGAGCAGGGTGAGGGGTGGCTGAGGCTGCTGTGCTATGGGGCTGCGGGGAGCTTTCTGGGGTCTTACTGTGGCTTTGGGAAGGAGTTGGGGTCTGGAGTCACCTCTGAGATTGGCGACAGCTGGGGACACGGGATGGGTGTACTGGTGGGTAGCGCAGTGGGATACTCACTGCTTTCTCCCTTGTTTCCTAGAGCCCTCCTACGACCCGGTCAGTGAGGAGGAGGAGGGCCTGTCGGCTGGCCTCCGAAAGCTCTGCCTGAAGAAGCCAGGCCCGGGGAAGGGCCTCCGGCTTGCCAAACCCTCTGCCCGCGTGCCGGGCACCAAGGTGGGTGAGCGGCAACCCAGCCGGTCACCCAGTGAGGGACCAACGAGCGGCGAGGTGACCCTCATTGACTTTGGGGAGGAGGTGCCCCCTGCTACCCCTTCGCCCGTGGGGGACCTGACAGCCCCTTCCCTCGCCAAACTGGCCATGGAGGCCTTCTCGCTGCTGGACAAAACACCCCCACAAAGCCCCACACGAGCCCTGCCCCGGCCCCTCCACCCCACGCCAGTGGTGGACTGGGACTCCCGGCCCTTGCCCCCACCGCCAGCCTACGATGACGTGGCACAGGATGAGGATGACTTTGAGGTGTGCTCCATCAACAGCCCCCTGGGGCGGCAGGGCAGCCGTACTGGCCTTCCCAGGGCACGTGAGCGGGGTGAAACCAACTACGGCTTTGTGGATGAGGGCGAGCGGGCAGCGGGGCTGGAGGACAACCTCTTTCTGCCCCCCAAGGACACCAAGCAACCCAGCCTGACGCAGACTACTGAGATCTTCCAGGAGCTGCAGCAGGAGTGCATGAAGAGGTTCAATGTGCCCCGAGGGCCATCCGCATGCCTGGCTGACGACAAACCCCAAATCCCACCCCGTGTTCCCATCCCTCCTCGGCCACTGCGCCGCAATGAACCTGGGCGTTGGTCTGGGGAGCTGTCCCCAGCCTCGGGGGGTGAAGAGGACCGACCACCCCAAATCCCCCCTCGGGACCCGCTGTCACAGCCCACTTCACGGACGCCCAGCCCCATGGCCCTGCAGGTGGGCTCCCCACAGCAGCGTGCTGCCCTCTGCTCTTGCCTGTCCACATCACCAGGGAAACCCATGCCCACCACACAGAGCTTCGCCCTGGACCCCAAATATGCCACCCCCAAAGTGATCCAGGCACAGGGCAAGGACTGCTCCAAGGGGCCCTGCATCCTGCCCATTGTGAAGGATGGGCAGAAGGTCAGCAGCACCCACTATTACCTGCTGCCCGAGCGCCCTGCCTACCTGGATAAGTATGAGAAGTTTTTCAAGGAGGCCAAAAGCCCCGAAGAGGCACCAGCATCCCGCGTGGTCACCACGGCCACCGTCCGGCCCATGGTGCAGCAGCAGCCCGATTACAAGGCCAACTTCTCCTCCAACAACAGCAACCTCGGGCCCAAGTGTTTGGTGAAAGCTTCCTGCAGCCTCCAGAAAATCGTGTATGATGGGCCAGATGGCTATCGTCCCTCGGAGAAGATCCGGCTGGTAAGGAGGAATGTGGTGGCTTTTGTCCAGGTGGCCATGGGCAAAAGGTATCCCCTCCCCGTGCCTCAGTTTCCCAATATTCAACCCGCAGAGGGTTGAAGGCATGCAGGAGTGTCATTGCAGCTCCCACGTGGGGATTGAGGGCCCTTCTAACCCAAATTAGCCCTACCCACAGTTGGACCCATGGAACAGAGAGGAAGGTGGCTGTCACCCCAGCCCAGGAGGCATGTTGACACCGTATTGCTGTGCCCGACTCCTGGTTGGGAGTGGAATCTTGAGGGTGGCAGCCATAGTGTCTCCCTGACTCCCCAGCTCTGCTGCCCACGGTGATGCACAGTGACCTCCATTCTTCCCCAGGTTCAGGACACAGTGCATGGTGTCACCACCGAAGAGTGCCAGGCAGCCCTGCAGAACCACGGCTGGAATGTTCAACGTGCCATCCAGTACTTGAAGGTACAGCATGCTTCAGCACCCGCTGCCAGCAGGGTGGGAACAATCGTTGACATCCTGATCCTTATGCCCTGTGTCCCCTTGCAGGTGGAGCAGCTCTTCTGCCTGGGGCTGAAGTCCCGCGTGGAGTGCCACCGAGTGCTGGAGATGTTCGACTGGAACCTGGCGCAGGCCAGCTCCCACCTCCTCGACCCCTACAGCTCCTCCAGGCAGAAGTAGGTCCATGAATATTATTCTGGGGATGGGGTCCAATCCAACCCTGTCACCCCCTGATCTCACGTCCTCTCCTTGCAGGCGGTGACAGCAGGGACCAGGTGAGCGACGCCGGACCCAGAGCAGGCGTCTCACTGCGGGGTCACCACCCCAATCCCACCATCTGCTGCTGGACTCTGGACTGAGCCCCACCTGGGGGATGGGGGCAACCCCAAAAGGGATCCTGCCCAACGGTTGAGACTATGCCACAGCCCCTGTGTCTGGGGGTCTGCGCCCTGGCTGAGGAGATGAGCTCCGTCCCTTGGCCTGATGTTGAATTGTTTTTGTAAAGAGAAATGTAATTTTAATATATATATATTATATTATATATATATTATATATCTATATATATAAAAATAATCAATGGAAAGGAGGAGGGTGCTCGTGCCCAGCTCCTGGGTTGCTGCCAGCTCACACAGGCATTCCTGACGCTCACAGGAAGAATGCACGCATGCTCCTATGGCACACACGGGGGTGACCCCATGGCACAGCCCCAGTGCCCCCTGTACCCTGCTGAGGCCGTGCCACCCCCGCGCCCCGCAGCAGATGTGCCTGGAGCACCGTGTGACTCATGCCCAGGCAGGGAGCGGCGAGCCCTGCATCTCTTCCCCCACCCACACAACAAAGGGGTTGTGCAACCGCATGGCACCGCCGAGCCGCAGCCAGGTGCTGGAGAGCGGGGGTTGGGGGTGGCACTCTGTGCACCCAAAGCATTGTTGGAATGCGTTGCCTGGGTGTCCCGAGGTGCCACCTCGCAGAAGGGAAGGGGGACCTTGGTGCCCAAACCTGGGTGTGTGAGCATGGATATGAGGTAGGGCGTTGGTGGTCCCCAGGGGGAACGGTGGGTGCAGAGGCTGTTGGGTGCATCTCACTGCATTTCCCTGGTTTAAGGTGACCTGCAACTGAGGCACAGCCCAGCCCGTGTGGAACCACCCCTCCCCCTTTCTCCCCCCCCTTCCCAGCCCGGATCTGCGTGGGTGTTTGCAATGGGATACACACCGATGGCGCAGATAACCCCCTGCACGCAATGGCCATGTTAAGGTCATGGGCCCTTAGCACAATGCCTCTCACCTCTGGGGGCATCGGGGCAGTGGGGTGGGCACTACTGGGGGCCAGGTGGAGGTGTGATGAGTGCTGCTCGGTCTCTGTGCATCCTGGGGGGCAATGCAGTGCCCCAGGGGATGGGGAAGGGTTAAGCAGTGCAGGACCCCGAGGCAGCTGCTCCCTTCCTTGTTCCTCCTTGGCGGCAGGCCCATGGGTTCTGGGGGTTATCGTCTACCTGGCCAAGCGTGGCTGGGACCTGGCAGCAAATAAGGTGGGGTGGATGTGGGGTTTTGGCAAGCACCCCCAGCAGTATTGGGGACCTGAGCCCCCTTTGCCATCCTGTGGCCTTTTGCAGGCCATTGAGTGGTTTCAAGAGGTGATCAACTCTAAGTGTATCTTAACCTTCAGGTGTCAGCTGTGGCTTCACCGTATATAGGGTCTTAAAACCTCCTCATGGCTAAAGCAAGGGCTAAAAGGATGACCCCAGCCACCAGCACATCCTCGGGGCTGGGGCACAGCTGTCTCTATGGGCTTGGGGAGCTGTTGGTGGCATGTGGCATCCCCACATGGCAGTGGCAGCTGGAGGAGGCTGGCACAGGGCAGTGCTCAGCGGAGGAGACGCCTCATTGCATCACTGGCCCTCGGACAGCGAGGAGGTGCCAGCGGTGCCGGGAGCCTTTGTGCCCACACCATGGGGCAGCTGCTGTGGAGCTGGGTGCTGTGGGGACTCTGGGTGCTGCCAGGTGAGTGCCGGGGTCGTCTGCGTCACCGGGGCAGCCGGGCACACCATGGTGCCAAGGAGGCACGGGGATTTGTCCTGCAACAGCCTGCATGGTGGGGAGGAGAGATTGGCACCCAATGGATTGTAGTGGGAAGCAAAGGGCTTGTTTCTCAGCCTGCCCTTGCTCACACCCAAGCCCCACCAGGGAATGCGGGAGCAGCAGGCATGGGGCCCCTTGTCCCAGCACAGGACCCAGCAGAGCCGGTTGGCGGCTCCTACGTGCCTGACAGCATCAGTGCCGAACAACATCAGGATATTTCACCCACTGTGGCCGAGCTGGGCATGTGCCAGCTGTCCCCTGACCGAACAGAGCAGCCTTCTGTCCTCAGGGATGGTTCAGGTAATGCCAGATTGGAGTTGATCCCTGCCCACCAGGGAGCTCAGCCCAGTGCTTGGGTGGGCAGCATGCTCAGGGGTTGGTATGGGTGGAATTGCCTTCTGTCTCCTCACAGGCAATGCAGTGCCGCAAGTGGTGCTGGCAGCACTGGACCCCATGAGTCCCAGCAAGGAGCAGGAGATGCCTTCTAGTGCAGCAGTCTCTGGGGGGATGGCAGAATCGGACAGTCCCCAGGCAGGGCTTGCTTATCCAAAACAAACCGGCTGGCTGACCAGTGTCCCCATCGCTCCTGGCCCCACTCAGATCACATCCCCAGTGCCTACAGGGCACACAATGGCTGTTACCCATGGGAACAGGGATACAGAGACAGCCACAGCCAGGCTGTCCCCAGCTCCACGTGTACCCTCAGAGAAGGGGACAGGCACTTCAGTGCCATTGGGCAGAAGCACTGCCCCCACAATGTCTGTGGGGTCATCCAAAGCTCTGCAGAGTGCTGCTGGGCAGCCCGCAACAGGAAGAGCTGTGCCTTTGCAAGAGATGACAGTGACTGAGGAACATATGCGTGCCACCAGCATGCAAACAGGTGACGTCCCAATGCCCAGTGGAGGTTTGTCTCCTGCAGTGGTCCGTGTCCCTGCAGTTCCTCCGGTGCTGGGAACAGAAGCACCTTCCTCTTCCACCAGCACAGCAACTGATGATGATGCATTGGTGCAGCCTCACCGTGTTGGCACCGCAGAAGGGACACCGGGAACAGCACAGACCGTGGTGCTGTCTGATGTCCAACTCAGCACAGGGACATCACCCCACTCCCTCACCTGGAGCCCAGCTGAGCTGCACACAGCCACTGTGCGCCTGTCCCAGGAGGTGACACCAGGGCTGGACGAGGCCACCTCTCCTCTTGTCACAGCAGCCAGCATCACTGCAGGGAACACCAAGCCTGCATCAACCACGTCTGACCGTGTCACATCTCCCA